CTACCCGAACTCTCCAGAATTTAGAAACTATTCATGAATATTTTTATTTTATGGCAATATAATTATTTGCATCAATTCAATAAGAATGTGTTTTCTTTTGTGATAGGACACAATTGGAGACACTGGTTATTTTGCCAAGGTTTTGACTGGAATGTCATATTTTGAGATATGACCAGACTGCTTTGAGGGATGGAGGTTGACTTTTGTGGAGCCAATAAAAAGCCCCTTGGAAAAACTGGTGGGTACCTTACCTACATGGTTTCCTTACAGGGATCCTGACCTTATGTTAAGTAAAGAATGTCACTTTCTGACAGATCAGAAACCTGAAGATATTTTGGGGACCTCAAGAAGAGAGGTATTCACCTAATTCATACAGATATTATAGATACATTCTGATGATGAGTCTTGGCTTGGCTTCTTAGCCTCCTGTTTTATTTAGTGTTGCTATAACAGAATACCTAAGGCTGGATAGTTTATAAAGAAAAAGGGTTTATTTAGCTTACAGTTCTGCAGGCTGGGAAGTACAATAAGCATGGTGCAGGCATCTGCTTAGCTTCTGGTGAGGGCTTTTCACACTGCGTCAAAGCCTGGTGAAGATGGTCAAAAGGCAAGTGGATGTGTGAGAAGAGGCAAAACTCAAAGAGTGTCCTGGCTTTAAAACAGCCCACTCTCACAGATATATTCACATGTGAACTAATCCAGTCTTGTGAGGGTGAAAACTCACTCACTACCAGGAAAAAGGCATCAAGCCATTCATGAGGAATCTGCCCCATGACCCAAACATTTCCCACTAGGCCCCAACTCCCCAAATCACCACATTGGAGATCAAATTTCAACATGTGTTTTGGTGCAGACAAACTCAAACTATACCATCTCTGGAGGCTTTTCAAAAATTCTAATCTGAGATTTCTTATGAATAAAGGAATCCAGCAAAGCCAACTTAATAGAAAGCCTAAAGGGTCAACCACCATTCTTGTTAAACTTAGGTAAATAATCACGTCAAAGAGTAAACTTATTTTGCAAATAAGTTAGTTTTACTGTGATGGGGGGACTGGAGAGAGAAAACATTACGTTTTAGAAGAAAACTATAGTACAGCTATTATTAGATTCTAGCTATGTCCACTGTTGTTGAATTTTTTTAGTGCCTGGACTGAATACTGCATTTTTAGTTTCCTCTCATATCAAGCTGCGAATCTCCAAACTAATGTTTCCAAGTTTTCTTCCACCCTTCTGACTTAAGATCACTAAAAATTAAAAATGCCTTTTTCCTGAGGCTAAAGCTAGTTAACCTGGCTTTGAAGAAAAATGACCGTAACAGCTTATATTTGGGCAAACTTTGTACAAACAAACTGCAAACCAGGAAAATCTGTCAGATTCCTTCCCTAAGGAGGTGATGGGATCTCATAGCCTAACACACAGTAAGTGCTTAGTAAAGGAATGTTTCTTTTCTTTGAATCGTTAATTAAAAAAAAGTTTATTATAAATTTAAAAATAGCTTATAATAAAAAGTCCCACCTTTCTACACCTCCAGTCTTGCTTCCCAGAGGCAATCACTCTTATAATTTGTTTTTAGTAATTTTGGCAGTTACTATACATATCATTAAATAATATACTCATAATGTTATTTCTTCATGTATCAATTATAGATACCTACTTATTTCCTACAATGACAAATATTTAGCTCAACACAGTTACAGCTATTTTTTCCCTCTACAGGCTTCCTTTGCACATTTAAATAGTACATTTATACTCCTATGTCCTGTTCCTTCATTTCTTACACTCACTTTGTAAGATTTAGGATTTATAGACTCAACCCTTATTGTTTTTTTTCTTTCTCCACTTTTCGCTCTATACCTCTGCTGGGCAAAACCTGTGTTTTACAGAATATAATTCCAACTCTTTTTTAGTATGTAATATAGGGCCCTATATGATCTCTAGCCTTTGCCTCCCTTTTTCATCTCCTGCCATTATCCACTTTAGCTATACTCACTGTCATACCAATGTATGTATTTAGTTTGTAGAATCTTTTGTGTGCTCTTGTCCTTTTTATCATTGCCTCATAGCCTTCCATCACCTGGAATGGCCTCCCCCTGCAATTCATTGGCAAATCCCATTCATTCATTTCAGCCTAAATACTATGTAAAAAAATTTTCCCTGGTAGATGTCACTTATTAAATAAAAAAATGTATACTGAGTGCCTGTTATGTGCAAGGCATGGTTTTAGGGGTTGGGGCCATAGTGGTCCAAGATAGTCAGTCATAAGTATGCATTCCAGTGACTTAATAAAAATAACCACCATGATGAAACCTACTATGTGCCAGGATTATATTAAATAATTTACACATGCTTCTTTTTTTTTTTTTTTTTGAGACAAGGTCTTGCTCCGCCGCCAGGTTACAGAGTAGTGGAGTCCAGTGGCACAATCATAGCTCACTGTAACCTTGAACTCCTGGGCTCAAGAGATCCTCCCACCTCAGCCTCCAAAGTAGCTGGGACTACAGGCTTGCATCACCACGTCTGGCTAATTTTTAAATTTTTTTGTAGAGATGGGGTCTTGCTACATTGCTCCGCCTGGCCTCAAGAGAGCCTCCCAAAGCACTGGAATTACAGGCATGAGCCACTGCACGCCCAGCTCTATTAGCTATTTTAATCCTCACAACACCTTTAGGAGCTCCAAAGAAGTTAAATATCCTTCCTCGGCTCACTCCCCATAAGTAGTTGGGCTTGTATTCAAACTCAATTCTGTCTGACTTCAAAGCCACTACTCTTAGGCTATACTCACTCTGCTCCCTGTACTCCTTTTTCACTTCTATTATTGCATATCTCATAACATTTTGAAATTGTCTGCATACAGATTTCCCCATATGAACCACAGGAGATAAGAAAAATTATATGACTATTTTCTCAGTTTTCTCAGGATGGTGCAGAACTAGTACCATTTTAGATGCACAGGAGAGAAGTTAATACATTATATACAATGGATACCTAAAGGCATTAGGGATTAATTGTCTCTTGAAATCCCAGGTTGAGAAAGGCTACTTTAGACAGAAGGCTTCTTAAGGGTAGAGACATTTGCCATTTAGTGGGTGCTTGATAAATTTTTCTTGAAACTGTTATTCAAACTTGATTCAGTTTTTAGAATGAAAAGTGAGCTGCTTCCTGAATCAAGGACCAGAGAGATAAGAGGGGAGAAAAGAAAAAGAAAAATGAGCTGCTTTAGTTCTGCTTCTGGAGGTGGCTTTGCAGGGAGTTAAACACTCAGACTTTTCTTAAGAGGATTTTGGGGGTGTTGGATCCAAACTTTGAGAGGTAATAGAATGCACAGACTCTGGAGCCAGACTGTCCACTTCTGATTCCAATTCTACTGTTTACTCGTTATACAAATTTAAGCAAGTTATTATTTAACATGTGTTTTAAGTACTTTACAATATTACCTGATTTAATCTTAACACTTCTATGTAGTACATACCTTTACTATTCCTTAATAGCTCTATACCTCAGTTTCCTCCTGTTAAATGGGGATAATAATAACAACCTACCTCACAGGGTTACTATTAGGATTAAATGTGTATAAGGTGCTAAGAATAGTATCTGACACATAGAAAGTTTGCTATTACTAACAGTAGAGGTTGTCACCAGGGCAGGAAACCAGCTTGATATAACTTATCAAATTTTTCATTTTATGTTAATGTTCATTTCAAGGACACAGATGGAATTCTTTGTAATGGGGACTAAATTCCAAGTACTTCCCAGTCAAGTTGGTTCTGCATCTCTAACAGAAAAACCAGTGGCTGGTGTTGAAGTAGAAAATGTAGGAAAAAAATACCTCTGAAATCCAGACACCTTCCTGCATCTCCTCTGCCATTTCCCAAGTCCACGTTATCATCATCTCTTTCTAGGATCTCTTGCAATAGCCTCCTATTTGGTTCAGCAGTATCCTCTTTGGCTGCTTCTATTCTCTTCCCCAGGAGATTAACCTTTTCAAAAGATAGATGTAGATTGGATCATACTATGCTTGTGCTTAAAATAGACCAGTAGCACTTCATAAGACCCAAATCAGGAACTTGGCTAAGGCTTACAGGGTCTGGCCTTGGCCCATGCTTCCAAATTCACTCACTGACACTCCACCCCAGCCACCTCAGCTTTCATTCATTGTTCAACAAATATTTGCTTGTTTTGTATATAGTCACTGAGGATAAATCAGTGACCAAGAGAAACAGTTCTTGTACTCACAGAACTTAAATTTTAGAGGGTGGGGGAACAACAACAATCAGACAAATATAATAATTGCTAGTTATAATAAGTATGAAAATAGAATTGAACTTGCAAATTAAAAAGAAGGCTCACTTGAGAAAAAGTGGTCAGGAAAGTCTTCTCTAAGAAGGTAACATTTTAGATGAGATCTAAAGAAGGAAAAGAAGTGCCATATGATGAATGGAGAAGAGAGAATTAAGGTAGAGAGAATAACCCAATGTAAAAGTTCATATATACTAGAAAGAACCTGGTGTTTGAGGTATCCAGAGCAGATTAACTTAAGGCACCACGAGGGGAATGAGGGTGGCCAGCACTTGAACTGGCAGGGCCTGGCAGGCCATAGTTAAGATTAGAATTTTCCTCTCTCTTTTTAGAAAATCTCAAAATTATTTTAAAAAGTTTCAAGAGTGGTACAATGTACACCATTATACCTGTCATCTAGATTGACCGATAATTAATTTTGCCACATTTACTTTCTATTTTGTTTTCATATTTTATTTTTTGCCAGATCTTTTGAAGGTAAATTGCAGACACTGTGACACTTTGCTGCTATTACTTCAGCAAATACCTTCCCAAAACAAAGACATTCTTCTACTTAATCACAAATTCATTGTCATGAGCAAACAACTGAAAACTGATTCAATATCTATGAAGTCCATATTTAAATTTCCCCAATTGTCCACAAATATTTTTTGCAGTTTTAAAAACTTTTTAAAAAAAATCTATGAACCAATCAAGATTCACAAATTTCATTTAGTTTCTTTTGTCTCTTGATTAACGCAATACTCCACCTCGTTTTTTTCTTTTTCCTGTCATGACATTGGCATTTTTTGAAAAAAAGCCTAAGTCTGTTGTCTTGTAGAATGTTCTACATTTTGTTTTTGTTCTGATTGTTTCCTCATGATTAGATTCGTGGCAAACATTTCTGGTACAAATAGCATCAAGTGATAGAGTGTTCGATTATTAGTTATGCTAAGTATCCTAACTTGGTTAAGGTATGTCAATGAAATCTCTTAATTGTAAAATTATCTTTTCCTTTTATAATTAGGAAATAATCTGTAGGGTGATTCAGATAGTTTTAATGTACTCTTCCTCGACAACCTTTCAGCCACTGGTTTTAGCATGTTGCATCCGTTGGTTTTAGCTTATGAATATAAGCTTATCTACATCAATTTTTATATTAGCAGTTGCAAAATGGGGATGCAGCAAGGGAAGTGACCCTCTGGATCCCGGGATGCAGAGCCTTTTCTGCCCTGTAGGGACCGGACAGGGAGGTTTCTAGAGCGCCATTACTCGGCCTGTCCCCCAGGGAGTCGCAGGAGCGACTGTGGTGGCAGCGGCCTCACCTCATGGCCTTCGTCACATCTTTATTGCTTTAAGGACAGAATCCGAGATCGGCATCCCAGCCAACAAGGTAATAATACTTATCGCAGCCGCGACGAAGCGCCGCATCCGTACAGCGCGAGGAGCCCAAAGCTAAACCAGACCCTCTGCATCCGGGCCGCAATCGAGCCTGCCTCTGCCCATTGGTTGCCGCGCGTTCCAAGATCCGCCCCCAGATTTGAAAGCTTCTTCCGGGAGCCTCTGGAAAGCCCGCAGCGTGAGCCAGCAGCGCTCCCGGGCTTCGTTCCGGAAGCCCCGCCCACTCCCAGCGTTCAGTGCGGCGCTTTGGCCGCCATTGTTTGAATTTGAAAAGGAAACATTCCAGTGTTGCTCGCAGGCCGGGTGGCCAAGGGTAGGCAACGTTTGCAGGTGAGGAGGTGACCGGGGTAAGGGTGCCGGGAAAGAGGTGGGTGACTGCACATATATGAGACCTGAAGTGGGGAAACGGCCTTGGCAATGTGGACATCTTTCAGCGGGGTTCATGACGCCTAGGAGCTTACTTTCAGGAACTGAGTTGCGGAGCGATGCGGGAACCTGAAACACCAGGTCTGCAGGGAGAACTGAGCTATACTGTTTGGGTTAGGGTTTAAATTTCGTCTCCACTGCCTATTACTGACGCGAGACAATTTATTTAATCTCTCTAGGCCTCAGTTTACTCATGTTTAAAGGAAGTAATAATAGTACCTACTTCCTCGGGCTCTTTTGAAGATTAAATGATAATGTGTAAAGCTGTTAGAAACAGCGCTGGCACATAATAGATACTGTTTGTGATCATTAATATTTTTAGTATAGTTGCTTCTGCTGTTGTTGAGAGACAGCTCTCTTTTGCCAACCTAGTTTCCTGAATCCCTGAGGTGAGCAGTTTGCTCAAGACATGACATGGCTTCTTCTTCTTTTTTTTTTTTTGAGACAGAGTCTCACTGTGTTGCCCTGGCTAGAGTGCCGTGGCGTCAGCCTAGCTCACAGCAACCTCAAAGTCCTGGGCTCAAGCGATCCTCCTTCCTCAGCCTCCCGAGTAGCTGGGACTACAGGCATGCGCCACCATGCCCGGCTAGTTTTTTCTATATATTGTTAGTTGTTCAATTAATTTCTTTCTATTTTTAGTAGAGACAGGGTCTCGCTCCTGCTCAGGCTGGTTTCGAACTCCTGAGCTCAAACAATCCGCCCACCTCGGCCTCCCAGAGAGCTAGGATTACAGGTGTGAGCCACCGCGCCCGGCCGACATGGCTTCTTTTTGGGGAAGCCCTTTGGTGGCCTCTGTGCGCTTAATTTCAGACTGCTCCTGCCTGTGCCTGGGGCTTGACATTTTAGGGTTTTGCACTAACAGGCTGAAGGGTGTGTGTGGGACTCTGACGGCTGTCATCCCCTAGTTTAAAAGGTTTTCCCCATCTCGTTCCACTCCTTGGTTCAGTGATTCCTGTCTGGTCCAGTTCTCTAAGCAGCCGTCCCCAACCTTTTTGGCACTAGGGACCGGTTTCATGGAAGGCAAATTTTCCGCCGGGCGGGGGAGGCGGAGCTCAGGTGGTGATGCGAGGACTGGTACCGGGCTGCGGCTCGCAGGATTGGGACCGCAGTTCTAATATACCTTGCTGAAGGACTAGTTGACACAAATTCGTGCCTTATGGATTAGATTGTTTTTAATCCCTGCTTCAGGTGATCAAATTGAGGTTTGTTTTTGGTTTTAAAACAAGGTAGCATGTTAATCAAGAGCAGAATAGCACTGTATATATTTTATTACATGTGCAAGATCCAAATTTCAAATTGCAAAAAGGAGTCATCTGTTAGTTGTGAAGACTTTTTTGAGGGTATATGTTGAGGATCACATTCAGAATCTTCATTAAGGCCGGGCACAGTGGCTCACGCTTGTAATCCTAGTACTCTGGAGGCCGAGGTGAGAGAATGGCTTGAGGCCAGGAGTTCGAGACTAGGCTGAGCAAGAGTGAGACCCCGTCTCTAATAAAAATAGAAAGAAATTAGCCGGGCGTGGTGGTTTGCGCCTGTAATCCTAGCTCCTCCGGAGGCTGAGGCAGGAGAATCGCTTGAGCCCAGGAGTTTGAGGTTGCTGTGAGCTAGGCTGACGCCACGGCACTCTAGGATTTTATTTATTACCATTATTTAAGGCACTAGACAGGGAGTCATTATCACTACATAAGTCTCTGGATTTGTTGTAGGAGATACAGAGTATTATAAAACAAGGTTCTTGCCCTCAAGAAATTTACATTCTAGTTGGAAAGACCACGTATAAGTGGGAATCCAACTAAAATTACAAGAAGTGAAGGTACATCTCAACAATTTTAGAAATGCTAGGAAGTAGCTTATTCATTTAAAAATAAACATATGAACAAATACAAACTACTTTCTTATAACGTTATTTTTTTATACACAGGAATATTCTTTTTAATTCAGTAATTTAAAATATCACACTTATTTTTAAAACCAAACTTTATTTGAAGCCAAAGAATGAAGTTTATTTTATAGTTTTCTGGACATTTCTATGAATTCTGCATCATGAAATGTCAAGCCAGTACTTTAATGTTTTTTGGCAAACTTCCCCCTCATATTCTAGATCATTGATTGTTTTTTTCTCCACGAGATACCCCTTTTCTTAATTTTCGTCCATAAATTGCACATTTTAAATATTATATCAAACAATATTGAAGTAACTTTCCCATTTTCATTACATCACAGATTTTACAATAAAAACAGGGGAAATAAACATATGAAACTTGTTTACTTGTATGGTTGGTTAATCCTATAGGTTGCCTGGGTCTACTGAAAATAAATGTATAATTTCCTTAGTCTTTTTGCAATTTAGAGGGAAAAAACTCAACAATGCTCTTGTGGAGAGTTTGGGAATTTTGGGGTTGAGCAGGGAAAAAGATATTACTGTGAGGTGACAGTAGTAAACAAGGAGCTTTATCTGGACAGGGCTTTGAAGGGGTGTAGGCAAGGGAAATTCCTCTGAGAATGGGACCTTTCCTAGACCAGAGTGAAGGACCACAACCCAGAGGGGAAAAAAGGCAGTGGAACTTGAGGGAGTGGGAGAGGAGAATCACAGAGGGGCTTACATGTCTAAGTGATGTTGCACAGAGGGGAGTTTAGAACTCTGAAGGGCAGCAGTGGCTTGGGGGTCTTGATAGCTCCAGATTCTATCTGTGTCTGGCAGATGTTTGGTGCAATTTCATGGGATATACAAACCTGGCAGGCCTGAAATGGCTAAAAATATACTTATTTGGGCTATATTTAAAGCAAATATTAATAAATGCTTAAGAAGTTAAGTTTGGTGGCCAAGTGGGCTTTTGAGCTAAGGTCCCTGCCTACTGTGAAGAGGTAAACAACGTAGGGCCAATATGCAGGGTCCATCATTGGATCATTTAGACAACATTCACGGATCTCCATTACCTTCTTGAGCCAGGAACACTAGTTTGGGAGTCACTGTTCCGGATATTTTATAATCTTGTCAAAGAACAGCACAGAGTCCTCCCCTTTTCCGTGGTATTGTGCACCTAGTAGATTCTCAGGAAATATTTGAATGTTACTATTTTTTCAATTAATTTTTTACCCTTAAGTTTACCTTTAGTGATTTGATGTTTAATTCAGTTCTAATAATTTACTGATGAATTTAAAACCTGTAATGTGTCAGATACTGTTTTCAATGTGTTTACATGTTATTTTATTTTTTATTTGCATTTGCAAGAATTAAGTACAAAGTGCTTTTACAGATAACTGAGTTTAACTTCTAAATGCTAAAACAAGATCTATAAGTAACATTCTTCAGAAGACGCTAAATAACTAAAATAACATAAGGTTATAATTTGCTCTATGATCTTCTATTGATTTTTGAGAGGATTTCAGGGAGAGAATGAATATTTTCTACCATCTTTACCAAGATTACCTTTACTTATGAAATTTCTTGGTGCGGATCTACCCATAGGTTGAATCATATGAATAATAGTAAGCCATGTTTAATATTATTTAATTCAGAGTCTATAAATATAATTTGATGTTTTGTCTTTTCCATAGTTCATTGTGTTATACATGAAGCAGTCTAATGTTTTCCTTCTCTGAACTTTAGTTATTTGGGGGAAAGTAGTGAGCCAGACTTTTTAAAGTGTGAGTGGCTTACATGCGCACTTAGTAAGGTTGTCTAAAAAAGTTACTGTTATTCTTGCAGGATGGAATCTAATTTGAATCAAGAGGGAGTACCGAGGCCATCTTATGTTTTTAGTGCTGACCCAATTGCAAGGCCTTCGGGAATAAATTTTGATGGCATTAAGCTTGATCTCTCTCATGAATTTTCCTTAGTTGCTCCAAACACTGAAGTAAGTATAAGGAAGGTATCATGTTGATTATCATTGAATGGAAATATTTGTGTGTGTGCATGTGACTAGGACAGAGATTCTCAAACTGTCTGGGTTTAAGGCAACCTTGTATCTAAGTAACTTTGTCATAGAACTCTAGGCCAAAAGAAATATATAACAGTTCGTTTTCAAGTAGTAGGCCTAAACAATTTAATAAGTATCTATGTCCTAACCTAATAGCCATTAGAAAAAATTGAATGAAAAAAAGTTTTAAATTTCATTGTTTGATAACTACAGTTACTAATAGGATATGCATGCCTCTTAAAATTTAATTTAATTTAATTTTTTGACCTTATTTGGAAATATGTGTGTGCCTTTTGAGCACTGCACAACTTCTAAAACCTTGGAATCTGATTAGATACTGCCACCCTCATTTTCTGTTCCTCATTGTTCTTATGTAGTGCTTGCTTTTTATCACAGCAACCATTGAAAGAGCCAGTTTAGTAAAGATAGGACATCATTAAAATAAATAGTGACCAGGGGCGGTTACTCACACCTGAAATCCCAGCACTCTGGGAGGCTGAGGTGGGAGGATCGCTTGAGCTCAGGAGTTTGAGGCCAGCCTGAGAAAGAGTGAGACCCTGTCTCTACTAAAAATAGGAAAAATTAGGTGGGTGTGGTGGCGCGCACTTGTAGTACCAGCTACTCAGGAAACAGAGGCAGGTGGATGTTCAATATATGTCAAGTATTATTGTGATTTCCTCAAAAAATGTGGGATGTTCCATTATGTCCCTAGGAATTGCAAGCCTTAATTTTAAACAGAATACAAATTTTTAAAAACTAAAATAGCTCAACCGTGTTTAGACTAAGTAAAAGTGCTCCCACTACCCTACTTACAACCATTGTAATGTTTGCTTGTATGTCTTTGCAGATCTTTTCTTATACGTGTACTTTTTGAGTCATTTATATTGTTTGTTACATTTTAGGTTGTTAATTTTGGTGCCTTAGAAATATGAACTAACCCATTTTATAAAGAATAATGGAAGGGGGAAAGGGGAGTTAGGGGGCATTGATAAAAAATAACATTTAATACCCATAATATGTCAGGTTCTTTTAAATACTGTAAGCTCATTTAATAATAAATAAATGAAGGAAAGAAGGGACAAAGGAGAGAAGGAAGGAAAGAATTCTGTGATAAGTGCCTCTTGATTATATAAAATGGAATTATACATTATGTAGTTGTTTGTGTCTGCCTTTTTATAACACAAAGGTTGGCCAAAAATGGCCTATTTTTGTATTTACTGTTTTTATACTTGCTTACAAGCTAAGAATGGTTTTTATATTTTTAAATAGTTGAAGAAAAATCAAAAGAAGAATGTTTCATGATTTGCAAATTATATGAGATTCAAACTTCACTGTCCCTAAATAAAGTTTTATTGCGTACCATACTCATTGGTTTACTTATTTTCTATATCTGTTTTTGCACTATAATGGCAGAGTTGAGTAGTTGTGACAGAGACTGTAGGGTCTGTAGATCCTAAAATATTACCTTTCTGGCTTTTTATAGAAAAATTTATTGATCCCTGACTTAGCATTATGTTTTTGAGATTTATCATCCGTCATATGCCCATAGTTCCTTTCTATTGCTAAGAAGTAGTCCATTGTGCAGATATGCCACATTTCCATTTACCATTTGATGGACATTTGGGCATTTTCTGGTTTAGGGCCATTATAAATAATGCTGCTCTGAACATTCATGTGCAAGCCGTTTTGTGGACTTGTGTTTTCATTTTTCTTTGGTAAATACTTAGGAGTGAAAGTTGTGTAAGTTTAAGTTTATAAGTAACTGCTAAACTGTTTTCCAAAGTGGCTTTATCAGCACTGGTAATGTATTCAGGTTCTAGAGCCTCCACCTCCTTGCGAACATTTGGTAATGTCAGTCTTTCATTTTAGTGGGTGTGTAGTAGTATCTTTTTATGGTTTTAGTATGCATTTCACTAATGAGGTCTTTTTCAAGTATGTTCTTGGCCATTCCTATACTTTCTTTTGTAAAGTGTCTCTTTATATCTTTTTCCCATTTAAAAAATTAGGTTATTTGTCTTCTTAGTGATTTGTGAGAGATCTTTATATATTCCAGATACATATCCTTTATCAGATTTATGTCTTGATGAGATATTTTTAAATTTAAAGATGTTCAGTTTAACATTTCTTTTTTGGTGTGTGTGTCCTCTGTAAGAAATCTTTGCCTTCCTCATAATTGCGAAGATTTTGTCCTACATTTTCTTCTAGAAATTTTGTAGTCTTTGTGTGATAGTGGTTATATCTTTGATCCATTATCATTGACATCTTGACAATATTGAGTCTTAATCCATGACCATAGTATATTTCTCTGTTTATTTAGATCTTTAATGTCTCAGCAATATTTTATACTTGTCAATGTAGAAGTCTTCCGTGTCTTTTGTCAAATATATTTGTAAACATTTCATGTTATTTGATGCTATTATAAATCATATTTCTTAACAGCTCTATTGAGGCATAATTAAGATTAAAAAACTGCACATATTTGAAGTATGCAGTTTAACAAGTTTTGACATATTTATATACTGTGAAACTATCAGCACAGTGAAGATAATGAATATATTTATCCTCAAAAGTTTCCTCAAGCCTCCTTGTAATCCCTCCCGTTCATCACACCTTCGGATAACTTCTGATCAGCATTCTGTCAGTATACATTAGTTTTTTGTAGATTAGTTGGATTTGTGTGCATATGTTCATGTTGTCTCTGAATAAAGACAATTTTATTTCTTCTTTCCAGTTTGGATGCATTTTTTTTCCTTTCCTTTTTGTGCTGGATTGCACTGGTTATAGAACCTTTAGTACAGTGTTAATAGAAGTGATGAAGTGGAAATCCCTGGGTTGTTACTCATCTTGCTACTCAGATTCAGCCTTTCATATTAAGTATGATGTTAGCTATAGATTTTTTTGTAAATGCCCTTTATTAGGTTAAGGAAGTTTCCTTTTATTACACTTTGCTGAGAATTCTGATTATGAATGGGTGTTGAATTTTGTCATGTACTTTGTTTTTGTATTTATAAAGTTTCTCATTTATTCTTTTAATGTGGTTAATTGCCCTGATTGGTTTTTGAATGCTAAACTGATCATATATTCCTGGGAGAAGCCATTCTTGGTCAGGATGTATTATCCTATTTAGTATATTGGCTAGTATTTTGTTTGGGAAATTTTGGTTCTATCTTAATGTGGTATGTTCTGTAATTTTTTTTCTGAGGATATCTTTGCAGGTTGTGTGTTATCAAGGTTATGTCAAACTCAAAATTAGTTGAGGTGTTTTCTCTTCCTTTATTTTTGTAAAGAGTTTATGTATGATTTGTATAATTATTTCCTTAAATGTTTGATGGAATTTACCAGTAAAGTACCAGGCCTTGGTTTTTCTTTGTAGGATTATTTTGTTTGAAAATGGATTGAATTTCTTTAATAAATACAGGGTTATTCAGATTTTCTAGTTCTTATTTCTGTTTTGTTAAGTTGTGGTTTTCAAGGAATTGTTTCCTTTTTTATCTTTTTAAACAAAATTTAAAACATTTCTTGAAAATTACATTTAAAAATGAACTAAACTTATTTCTCCTTCAAAAAAGAAGTAGCAAAGAGAATATTACAGAGTAAAAAAATTCTGAATGCATGACGGAATCGAACATTGGGTTAGTAGGATATTCTGGTTACTTGTGACTTATACTAGAGTTCTATTTTCCAATTACTTAGAGCCTCATTAATTGTATTAGATACAAAGGTTAGGTTTTTATGGAAAAAAGGCTTTATGTAAACTTCATATAAATACAGGAGGTAAGGAAACTGAATCTTTTGTGGTGTATTTTGTTTTAATTTAAATACATTTGTTGAGTTTTTCTAAAATGGTTAAAAACAGAATAGTGACTATTTGCCTAGAAATTCTGTTTGATCTCAGATTATTACAGAACAATTAGCCATGCTGAAGAAAGATGATCTCTGAAAAGCCATATTTTGTATCTTTAAAAATATACTTATTTTTTTCTTCTTCTTAAGGCAAACAGTTTGGAATCTAAAGATTATCTCCAGGTTTGTCTTCGAATAAGACCATTCACACAGTCAGAAAAAGAACGTGAATCAGAGGTTTGTGTTGGATTTAATCGTGTTTTAATATATTACTTTCATTAAACAGATGAAATACTATTGTTCTTATTTATTGTTCATATATGTTCTAGGGCTGTGTGCATATTCTGGATTCACAGACCGTTCTGCTGAAAGATCCTCAAAGCATCCTTAGTCGGTTAAGTGAGAAAAGCTCTGGGCAGATGGCACAGAAATTCAGTTTTTCCAAGGTAAGTACCCATGTGAAAACAATTTTTTTTTTTAAGAGGAAGGGACTTGCTTGGGCTAAATGGCTATATATTATAATTGTATGTAATAACCATACATTTTGTGCTTATGGAACTCAGATCTTGGGTACTGGTATTTTTTCCTTAAGAGTAGGTCTCAGATTTCAGGTGTCGAAATATGTAATTATTGAAGTGAAAAAATCACTTCAATTATTATTTAAATTATTATTTATTTAAAGAAATGATTTTTTTCAAACCTTAAATGACAACTTGATTGGCTGGGTCAAATTTCTATCTTGAAAACTTGAAAATTTTCTAGTAGTAAAACCATCAAGTGTTATTTGTGGAAGTGGGGATATGGCAGCTGTTTTAAGAATGAATCTTATATAAGCAATCTTTAAAATTTTTTAAACGTGAGAGATGGGTAGAACACATTGTGAGTTAACCTGAATTTTCCAAAAAGACTTGTTTTAAAAATATTTACATAGGTTTTTGGTCCTGGAACTACACAGAAGGAATTCTTTCAGGGGTGTATCATGCAGCCAATAAAAGACCTCTTGAAAGGACAAAGTCGCCTGATTTTTACTTACGGGCTAACCAATTCAGGAAAAACATATACATTTCAAGGTAAATATTGTTTCATTTTGGTTGGAAAGGATAAAGAAGCAATAATATTCGCTCAGTATTTTTATAATATTTGCATGTATTTAACGTTTCCATCAGCTTATATGTGTTTGCTCCATTTTTAATGGTAATAGCGTATTGAATATGTATTGCTTATGGCTTTTATTCAGATTTATTTAATTCACATGTAAAAATACTTGACCCATTGATAGAGAATAAGATTGATGATGAAAATTCAGAAAAAGAATTGATGTGATATAGAAATTGAGAATTGGTAACCAAGTAGACACTTTATATTTAATTTTACTTTTATACTTTTGATTATGGGTGATTATAAATCTTAATATTATGGCCTTACAGGAATGTAAGATTACAGATTTTACATCAGAATAGTAGTTGATAAAATGTCCATGTCGGTAATACAGTGAAGACCAAAGTAATGGAAAACTGAGTATTCCCTCAACTTCTCTCACACTTAGTAATATTGTAGCTATTTACTCTTGCTTCCTGGTACTATAGGAGGACCTTTGGTAGTCCAGGAAAGTTTCCTCTTTCCAACTAGTTTGAGAGAATATAACACAAAAATTCTTTTTATAGGCACAGAAGAAAATATTGGCATTCTGCCTCGAACTTTGAATGTATTATTTGATAGTCTTCAGGAAAGATTGTATACAAAGACAAACCTTAAACCACATAGATCCAGAGAATACTTACGGTTATCACCAGACCAAGAGAAAGAAGAAGTTGCTAGCAAAAGTGCATTGCTTCGGCAAATTAAAGAGGTATGGAAGTATTTTAGTATGTAAAACATGTATAAATCATAACCTTTTATAAACCCTTTCTTTTCAGCCTATATTGGAATCTGTTTTATGGTGGTAGTGGCTGCTTTTGGGTTCTTCTTGAGAAAGATATTTAAAGCTTGAAGTTTGAAGACATCTCTTTCTCTTATTTTGTGTTATAAAAACAGCAAGAATGTTTAAATAATACAGATGTAAATGGTTCTGAAATGATTTTGGGTGTTGTAGAGCCAGTATTACACTTTTTATGTGATGAATTTTAAAAGTTCTGTGTTTATTTTATTGATTGACTGATCGATTGATTGAGACAGGGTTTCTAGCTCTGTTGCCCAGGCTGGAGGGCAGTGGCTCACTCATAGCTCACTCCAGTCTCCAACTCCTGGTCTCAAGTGATCCTCCTGCCTCAGCCTGCTGAATAGCTGGGACTACAGGCATATACCACCACCATGCCTCACTAATTATTTTTTATAGAGACAAGGTCTTGCTACGTTTCCCAGGCTGGTCTCAAAACTCCTGGCCTCAAGTGATGTTCCTGCCTCGGCCTCCCGAAGTGCTAGGATTACAGGCATAAGCCACTGTACCTGGCTAAAATTCTGTTTCTTTAATTGTGAAAGTAATATATACACAACATTTAAATAAGGAAATGTGAGAAATAAAAAGTAAAATTTCCTGCAATTATAAACCAGTAAGAGAAAACCACAGATTGGAAAGTATGTTCTTTAGACTTTTTCTCTCTGTATAAAATCCATACATAGAACTTCCTATATGTCTGCATGTACACATACAGAATCATATATATAGTTACATATATCTTCATATCTTTTTCTTTATATATTATATGTAGGATTTTTTTTTTTTTTAACAAAAATGGTCTTTCTCATTTGGGCTTAATTTATATTTCTTTAATTATGAACGAGGTAATTAGTATATCTTAGAATTTTTCCTGTGAATTATCAGATACGCTCTTTGCCCATTTTTATCTTGACTTCTTACTGATTTGTAAGAACTTACTTATTAAAAAAACTAATATGTTATTATATGGGTTGCAAGTTTTTCAACTTATTGTTTGCTTCTCCCCGACCCCATTGTGTTTGTCAATTTATTCAACAATTTTTTATTAAGGCACCTACTGTTGTTCAGGCAATATTTTAAGTGCCGAGGACAAATGGTACTGCCCTCATGGAGACTGACAATAAATAAATACACAATATGCTGTGAGGGGATATTATTTTAATAAGGTGGAACCATATAAACTTAAAATTTTTTACGAAGTTGTACTTACCTGTTTATTCCTCCTATGCATTCTGAGTTTTGTTTTATGTTTTCAGACATTTATTCTATTCAAGACTATTAAAAACTATTAACAGTTTTTATAAATATTTTCAAATATTAATGGGGCTTTTCTTTTTTTAAGACATTTAGAAACCAGGTTTTTAAAGTAATAAAAAGTGGAGTTCAAAGTTCAGAGTCCATGATTATGTTCTCTGAAAATAAAATAGTATATTAACAAAAATTTTGAAGGTTAGTAGATAATTGCATAAGTAATTCATATAGGAAATTAAAATCAATAATGAGAAAAGTTTACTAACAAGTTATCCAGTTAAAACAAAATATTATTTTTCCTATGAACTTATTAAAATGTTTAAAAGAATGAGATATGCACTTTTATACATTGATTGTAAAATGTTTCTACAATGCAGTTTAGTAATACTATATTAAGAATGAGAACTTTTAAATTTTTCATATCTTTTTATCTACCAATTCAGTTTTAGGTACATAGTCTAAGGAAATAATTAGAATGCAGAAGAAAATATTATCTTAGTATTTTTACTGGCAAAACTTTGTAAATAATTTAAATATTTACTAATAATTAAGTCATTTCATGTCTCTTCAGGTACATGGCCATCAACTGTTTATAAATAATTTTTAATTATGAGGAGAAAAAACTTAAGTGTGGGGAAAATAATAGAAGGGGGAATATATTGAAATATTAATAGTAATTACCTCAGGCTGGTGGGGATTGACTGTACATGGTGATATTCTTTTTAATACTTTTCTGTATTTTCCCAATTATTTGCATTATGAGACTATATTAACTAGGAAAAAAACTAATAAACAGAGGTCACTGCATTGACTGGGTGAAAGGTTGTGATTTGATTTGTGACTTGTTTGGATAGTTAATTAGTATCTTGGTTATTTAACCTTAACTAAAAATATTTTTTGACTAAGAAAAAAATCTTTTTTAGGTTGTTATGCACAATGACAGCTATGATACTGTTAATGGTAAGGTTTCCTTTTTCTCACTTATCTTTAATATGTTGACCATATGAAATACATTTGAAAAGCTTTAAATTTTGAAATCACTTCTAATGATTTAATTTCTATAATGACATAGTCAAAAGTACCTGGAAAACGATGCTTATATGAAATGCCAGTCATTGTAAAGTTTTATTTGGATTAAATACCACAGCTATCCCTTTTTACTGCTTAGAATTTTAATATTGAATTCAAGAGACACTCTTGTTTTTCTTTGTCCTTTGTGCTTATTTTCTGTTTGGTTCATTAGCATATTTTTAGAAAGGAAGGATAAGAAGTCAAACTTTTGTTAATCCAAATATTATTTACATCTTGCTTTGTTCTAAAAAAATGTGTAACATAAATGGTCATAAGATTAAGAATATTTGGTTTTTTAAGTCCAGCAGTCTTGATCTATACTTTTGTCCCATTTTTTGTCAATTGCTCAATTTTGTCATTATCCTTTTTCTTTCTTCTTTTTGTAGGAAGTTTAACAAATTCTTTGAATATTCCAGAGTTTGAAGAATCCATGAAAGATTGTGAACAAGCTAGCTTGAATATGGATAATAATATAAAATTTTCTGTATGGGTTTCTTTCTTTGAGATTTACAATGAATGTATTTATGACTTGTTTGTTCCTGTATCATCTAAATTCCAAAAGAGGAAGATGCTGCGCCTTTCCCAAGATGTAAAGGGCTATTCTTTTATAAAAGGTATACTAATAAATATTTTTATTTTACTGCTCGTAGTACCCTTCCTGGACTTTGTGATAGCTATAGGAAAGCAAATAGGAAGTTGAAAATTTTATACTGATTATTAACATCAAGAGAATAAGAGAATTTTGTGCTTCAGAAGTATGTTTTGATATATTTATTAAACTTTAATATGAAAGGGTCTAGTTTGGTATCATGTTTGCTTGAATATTGTTGATTGGATTCTTGGTGATGAGAAAAGCTGTGTGTTGATATTCACATTATTCTGCTACTTTGTAACAATGTCCAAATTTTAGAGCTATAAAATGTTACTGTTCTTCCCTAGTAGTTTTTCCAGCCTTTAAAAAGCAATTACAGTAGGAAATACATATTAACAACATCGTAACTCAGTACCCATATATGTATTTGTATGCATATGTAATATTTACAAGTCAAAAATTTCATTAATTATATTTTTACTATAAGGAGTATACTGTGCTATTTTTTATATTCTATTTCATTTTTTTTTTTTGAGACAAGAGTCTCACTGTGTTGCCCGGGGTAGAGCGCCATGGTGTCATCCTAGCTCACAGCAACCTCAAACTCCTTGGCTCAAGCAATCCTTCTGCCTCAGCCTCCCAAGCAGCTGGGACTACAGGCATGTACCACCATGCCCGGCTAATTTTTTCTATATATTTTTAGTTGTCCGATTAATATCTTTCTATTTTTAGTAGAGACGGGGTCTCGCCCTTGCTCAGGCTGGTTTTGAACTCCTGAGCTCAAACAATCCGCCCGCCTCCCAGAGAGCTAGGATTATAGGCGTGAGCCACCGCGCCCAGCCTCTATTTCATTTTTATAAAATGCTGGTTATAACTCAGTAAATTTGATTTCATGATTCACTAATGAATTGCAGTCTGCAACGTCTCATAGCTGGGTAATTTTGTAGGTTTAATCTGTTCTGTATTTTGTCTCTCCTTTTTTACTGAGTTCTTATTCTAAGGAATTGTACTTGTTTTTAATTTTCCCTTTGGATTTATTTTCTGTGTTTGTGTAACTTAAATATTGGAACACTGTTAAAATCTCCTCCTCTTCTGTAACTCTTCTCCTGTGGAACATGAAATAGCTGAGTTGAGTGCAGCTAAAATGTGTTATTAGAAGAAAAATGGCATTATATTTCACTGGAAAAGACCATCAAAGAGATTACATTGTAGAACACATCCTATGTTTTAATAAGTTGATATGAGTACTCTTTTTTTTTTAAAGATCTACAATGGATTCAAGTATTTGATTCTAAAGAAGCATATAGACTTTTAAAACTAGGAATAAAGCACCAGAGTGTTGCCTTCACAAAACTGAATAATGCTTCCAGTAGAAGGTAAGGAATAAACCCTATGGGGTAAGCCTGGAGCACCCATGGTATTCTGTGCTAATTTAAATATAACTGATTGTAAATTAAAGTGGGCAATAGGTTCTGTTATGTTTTAAATGAATTTATAGGCATAACAACATTCTGTAAACTGAACAGCACTAAATACATAATATTCTCAATATTATTTCTTAACATTGTTTGCTAATTTGTAGGAAGTCTCTGAGGTTTGTTTTACTCTTTCCTAATGTCAATATCTAAGCTCAATATTGTCAGAGTTGTCTATAATCATGGCCTTTACTCTGTGTCTTTTCCATTTACCCCATGAATACTGTATACATACTGAGTTAGGCTATAATCTCCAGGGGTTATGTTTTTGATGGAAGGGATTAGGGGATGAGAGACACAGGAAGTAAGTTTGAGCAGTGTGTTATTTATTTACTTACTTGAGACAGGGCCTCACTCTGTTGCCCAGGCTGGAGTGCAGTGGCACTATCATAGCTCACTGCAGCCTCAAACTCCTGGGCTCACGTGATCCTTCTGCCTCAGCGTCCTGTGCGCCACCACTCCTGGCTAATTTTTCTTATTTTTTTGTAGAGACAGGGGCTCACTATGTTGCCCAAGCTGCTCTGAATTCCCTGGCTCAAGTGATCCTCCCTCTTCAGCCTTCCAAAATGCTGGGATTATAAGCATGAGCCACTGTGCGCGGCCTGAAGCAGTGAGATATTTAGAACAGGCTTTGTCTTAAGGGAGAAAGAGCCCTGTCCCCATACTTAGTTTGATATGGGATGATATATGATCCAGATCTATAGGTCAAATGTATGCTTTGCTTTAGGTACATATTCAAAGAATATCAGCTGTACGTAATACAATTTTAACTAATATGTTCTTTGTGAGAAAATTGTGACTATCATAAATGATTTCATTAATAGAAGTTGGAATGTCAGGAGAAGGTTTGAGGGATTTTAGGCAATCGGTTATGTGGATGACAGTGGGACACTGGATTGAAATGTTTGGCAGCATAGTTGGGAAATGCAGTGGTGGACTACAGCTAATATTAGGGTGCAAAATAGAGGTTGATTTAGATACTCGTCACTGTCCTATTTAGAATATAGAAATTAAAAACGTAAAGATAACATTTGATCTTTGTATTTCAGTCACAGCATATTCACCATTAGAATATTACAGATCGAAGATTCTGAAATGTCTCGTGTAATTCGAGTCAGTGAGTAAGTTGAGTATTTAAATTGTAATTATTTTGAATTGTTTTGAAGAACTTTTGAAGTAATTTTTTCTTTGGTTAATTCAGATTGTCTTTATGCGATCTTGCTGGTTCAGAACGAAGCATGAAGACACAGAATGAAGGTGAAAGGTTAAGAGAGACTGGGAACATAAACACTTCTTTATTGACTCTGGGAAAGTGTATCAATGTTTTGAAGAACAGTGAAAAGTCAAAGTAGGTGTTGCTGAAAGCGTTATTAGCGTATTAATATACTATTTAAACTTTCGACTTTGCTGTTTTTAGAAAGTTCTTTTCTGTTTAACCTTCTTACATAATGCCTGTGTATGGATTATGATTAAAGTACTTAGGGATCTTGGATTAAAAAGAAGATAGAAATTTTTTAAAAAGTCAATGCCAGTAATTCATCAAATAAACTCAGTATTTTCCGTAGCAAATACATACCAACAGACTCTGTAGAGGATAAGCTTCTCATGATGCTGGTTTAGTATCTAAAACCATTTTTTTCTTACTACAGCATTGTGTGTGTTCTTCTAGCTGTGATAGCTGTTTGTATTAATTAGCATTTTAGGCTGCATAAATAATAAATTAGGCTTTACTATTTCTAGTTAAGGTATCTCATAGTAGCTAGTATATAGTTGCTCTGTACTAGGGAACACAATCCAGTTAAATGTGATTTTTCTTTGCATTTTGCCTAGTGGGTTATTAGTATTTTTATTAGTAAGTAGCAATATTTAAAGAAAACAAACAGAGAAGGACTATTACGGGTGGTACTAATCACAACCTAAAGTTTAAGTCCACAATAGCTGGATCAATTATTTCTTTATAAAATTTATCAGTATCTTGACTTCCTGAGATTCGTTTTAACTTACAATTTTTGAAAATTTTTTTCCATAGGTTTCAGCAGCATGTGCCTTTCCGGGAAAGTAAACTGACCCACTATTTTCAAAGTTTTTTTAATGGTAAAGGGAAAATATGTATGATTGTCAACATCAGTCAATGTTGTTTTGCCTATGATGAAACACTCAATGTATTGAAGTTCTCAGCCATAGCACAAAAAGTAAATATATATTTATTAAGCCTCTTCTTCTTATTAGAACATTAACAATTTTTCTTGAAATAATTATTTTCCACTTATTACTATAAGCCTAGGGAATAATTGAAAA